AACTGCCTCCAAGATGGGCACTACGTTGGCAACTGCCCTTGCCAAACCAACTGCCGAATGTGTCAGAAGCGTCATCACACGTGGATCCATCCTGGCTACGCAGATTCTTCTCCAAGTAGCAACGTGGTTCAGTGCTCTACTAGTGAGCCACAATTTTCCACTCAAGCAAACGTCACCGTGGCCAACATCGATTCATCCACCATGGATTCATGTACCTCTGCGTACGTCAACGAAGTTCAAGCAGTGTCATCTCAGATCTCTCGAAACAGCAACGTCTTCATGCTCACCGTAGTGTTGGTCATCGTAGACGTCCACGGGCAAGAACACCTAGCAAGGGCCTTGCTAGACAGTGCTTCCCAACCCAATCTAATGACGGATCGTATGGCAGAAATGCTGATGCTCAAGCGGAAGAAGGTGAATGTACAGCTGCAAGGACCTGGGGGAATTTCGATTCGCGCATCAGATTCTGTCTCCACTCAAATTCGTTCTCGCAAGGAGGATTTCACACGCGACATTGAATTTCTCGTCCTGCCTCGAGTGACGTCCGCCATGCCTGAGCAAGACGTCCCAATCGTCGACTGGAAAATCCCGAAGGACCTGTTCTTGGCCGATCCCAACTTCAACAAGCGTGCTGACATCGACATGATCATCGGTCTTCAACACTTTTTCTCCTGCTTCACAACAACGGCTCGTATCCAATTAGCGAAAGATTTGCCCGAACTGGTCGACAGCGTATTCGGATGGATCGTTGCAGGCTCTGGTCATCTCATTCCAACATCTCCCGATTCCGCCACTTGCAACTTCACTGCAGTTTGCCTGGTCACACTCGAAGAGAGTTTGGAACGCTTTTGGAAGCTAGAAGAATTACCTCACAGTTCTGACTATTCTGTAAAGGAGAGGAAATGCGAAGAATGGTATAAGTCAACAGTCTCACGTGATTCTTCTGGTCGCTATCAAGTTCGTCTGCCCCGTCATCCGGAATTCAACACCATGATAGGGGAATCCAAAGCTGCTGCCATTCGAAGATTCAGGGCTACTGAAGCAAGATTAGAACGAGAACCCGATCTTAAGAAGGAGTATCATAAGTTCATGGAAGAGTACTTGTCCCTTGGTCATATGCGATTAGTTCCCGAAGATGAAATCGACGACAAAAATTCGTACTACCTTCCTCACCATCCAATAGTGAAGGAATCCAGCACCACTACGAAGGTACGTGTCGTCTTCGACGGATCTGCAAAAACATCAACCGGATTCTCGTTGAACGACGCCCTGCTCGTTGGACCCGTTGTTCAGGATGAGCTGCTAGCGATTATTCTACGTTTTATGACGTTTGCAGTTGCAATTGTGGCGGACGTGGAAAAAATGTATCGTCAAATCCTGTTGCATCTACTAGATTGCCCGTTCCAGTGCATATTCTGGCGCTTTTCGAAATCCCAACCAATCCAAGTGTACCAGCTACTAACGGTCACATACGGGCTCGCTCCTTCTTCCTTCCTAGCCACTCGAACCCTTCTGCAACTAGCAGAAGATGAAGGTCCAGCATATCCACTCGCTCTACCAGTTCTCCGCAAAGGTTTCTATGTCGATGATTGCGTTGCGGGTGCTCAAACCATCGAAGAAGCCATCAAGCTGCGAAAGGAACTAGACGATCTTCTCAGGAAAGGTGGTTTCATTTTACGAAAGTGGGCTTCGAATAAGCTAGAGGTGCTCCAAGGACTAAGCCAAGATCAAATCGGGACACAATCCATCGTAAGCTTCACTCCTCAAGAAAGTCTGAAAACGTTGGGTATCGTATGGGAACCTGAAGCTGACAAGCTGCGATTTGACTCGAAGGTCACTCATCCGGACAAGCCTGCTACCAAAAGGTCCATGTTATCATCAATCTCCCAGCTTTTCGATCCACTAGGGCTTGCTGCACCGATCGTCGTCCGAGGAAAAATGCTGATGCAAGAACTATGGCTCCTTAACTGCAGCTGGGACCAGCCTGTACCGGACGTTCTTCAATTCAAGTGGGGGGAGTACTTCAGTTCGTTGGAAAAGCTCACTGAATTTCGAGTCGATCGCTATGCATTGTTGCCACACGCCAAAGTACAACTCCATACGTTCACCGATGCATCGGAAGCTGCATATGGGGCCTGCATCTACGCTCGTTCTGTTGACTCTTCTGGTAACGTCCGTGTTCGACTCATCGCATCGAAAACTCGAGTTGCTCCGTTAAAACGTATCACTCTACCTCGCTTGGAGCTATGTGGGGCTCTCGTCGGTGCTCAGTTGTACGCCTATGTCAGCAAAGCTCTTCCAATCGAAATCTCGGATTCTTTCTTCTGGTGCGACTCAACTGTCACGCTACATTGGTTGCGATCACCTCCAAACAACTGGAAAACGTTCATTGCCAATAGGGTCTCGGAAATTCAAACTCTAACGCATGGATTTCAATGGAATCATGTCGCCGGTTCGGAGAATCCAGCGGATTTGCTGTCACGAGGAATGGACGTCGACGATTTCGTTGTAAGCAGTTTCTGGATGCACGGTCCAGAATGGCTATTCAAAGCGAAAGAAGATTGGATCAACTCAGCACTACCCCCAGCACCTGAACACGAAATGGAACATCGCAAGGTGGTGGCGACCATTACACGTACAGCACAGCAAATCAACGAAGTATTTGACCGCTACTCTGCATTCTACAGACTCAGGCGCATAACTGCATATTGCCTCCGGTTCATCGAGAATATTCGGCATAAAGCGCGCACCCAGCCATTGGTATCTACTGGTCATCTACCTAGTCCAACGCTCACCACTGCTCAAATATCCTCGGCTGAAGATCTTTTGGTTTGTCTCGCTCAGGCAGATGCGTTTCGTGCAGAGTTGAAAGATCTACAAAAGGGAAAGATGATTTCTAAACATTCGCCAATCTGTGTACTTAACCCCTTCCTAGACCCACAAGGCACGTTAAGAGTAGGGGGTAGGTTGAGATTGTCAGACCAGCCATTCAGAACGAAGCACCCAGCCCTATTGCCCAATTCCCATCCCTTTACCCACATGCTCATACGTACCCACCACGTTAACCTGTTGCATGGTGGTGGCCAGCTCACACTTGCCCGAATTCGTGAGAAATATTGACCACTGCATGGAAGGAGAACCGTACGCAGCGTCCTACGTCAGTGCATTCGATGCGCGAGAGTCGATCCCGTCCAAACCCAGCAGCAGATCGGCCAACTGCCTGTGCCTCGAATCACTCCAAGCAGACCATTCACCGTTACCGGAATCGATTATGCTGGACCCGTTTACCTTCGAGCACCACACAAGCGAGCACCCTCACCGAAAGCGTACATCTGCGTACAAAGCGGTACACCTCGAACTAGTCTCGGACCTAACAACGGCGGCATTTATGGCAACATTGCGCAGATTCATCGCGCGCCGCGGTTTCCCAGCGCATATCCACTCCGACAATGGAAAAAACTTCGAGGGAGCCAAAAATGAGCTACTTGCTCTCTACAAGTTCCTACGTAGCAAGAAGGAAATGAATGTCATCGAATCTGTCCTGGCTAACAACAGCATTACTTGGCACATGACACCACCGAAAGCACCTCACTTCGGCGGTTTATGGGAGGCCGCAGTTAAAGTCGCTAAAAAGCAGCTGTATCGGCAACTAGGAAATTCTCGCCTCCAATTGGAAGCCATGTCAACGGTGCTCACACAAATCGAGGCCAGCATGAACTCTCGTCCACTTGTTCCACTATCGGAGGATCCTGAAGACCTTACTGCACTGACACCCGGCCACTTTTTGATCGGTGCACCTATGCAATCCCTGCCTGACCACGACGTTCGTTGCATCCCTACCGATCGCTTGAGCCATTATCAACAGCTGCAGCAGCTGCATCAAAACTTCTGGCACCGTTGGCGTACTGAATACCTACATGAACTACAAAAGAGCCAGAATAACTTCCGTGCGAACAGCGAAATCAAGCCTGGACGTCTCGTGATCTTAGTGGACGAAATGCAGCCTCCACTGAAATGGCCCCTCGCTCGAATCGTGGATATCCATCCGGGAGAGGACGGTTTGATTCGAGTCGTGACTCTGAAAACAAACAAGGGAATTGTAAAACGACCCATCGTCAAAATTTGCATGCTGCCACAGGAGGAAACCGACGAAAACACTTCGTTGCTGGAGCCATCCGCAGGAGATTCTTCACTACAATCTGTTCCCACCGTTGGTCCTCTGATTACGGATACGTAAAAGATTGTCGATGTAATCTTAAGTTGTTGTAAGAAACCTTCTGCATTTGTACTCGTTGTCCCAATAGTATAGAATCAGTTGTTTATGTTTAGTTTAAATTGACATTTCAAGGTGGTGGCGATGTTTAGGTTCAGTGTGTTTTTTCATTACGAGCCGCCAGTGTTTAAGTAGCTGAATGCTGTAACATCGTATAAATTTCTCTCGTTTTTCTCTCTCACCAATACAATCTGCATACTACGGCAGATTCGGTGATAGGCTTAGAAAAGTATAGAATAAGAAACGATTTTAATATAGTTTGCCATCAGCCACCACTGAGTTTGCAAGAGGAAACCAAATTGCGCGCAAATATACTCTGTCCTAGAAATTAGAAACAAAGTTTGTTAAGTGTTTGGTGTTGCAATAAATTATCGTCCCTCTGTGAATGTGTTTCGTTTAACCGTGCGAAGAATAAGTTGCGTATTGCAAACTGTTAGGCGAATGACGGCCGTAAAGCGGTGAGAAAAGGTTCTTCCCCAACACAAGGTTTACAAGATTTCCGGATTAACTGGCATTCAGTACATTACGGTACGACAATTTGGGCACAATATTTACATGCTAAGTGTATGGATTTTAGTGCTTTACGGAAACCGTTGGAAATTTGCTAAGATCTTTTTATTTGGAAGTAAACAATTTGTTTTTATCGACGCCTGAATAAAAAGAGCTGTTTATACGGTCAGTTGAATTATGACTTTTAAGATGTACCGAAAAACTTTTAATGACTTACCGGAACCGAAATCACCCATTTTCTAACTTTATCGGTGTTTATTTCAGCCAACCGCAAACAGAATAATAACCCGTAAATTAAGGCAGCATTCCAGAGAGCATTCACTTCACCTTTTATTGAATATTGATTTCCATGCACATCACCTGTCAACGCACTTTATGATAAACCTTGAAACTACACCCAAACTCGTAAAACACTGACGGATCAAATCACCAAAATTAAGAATGAGATCAGCGCCACATAATTTGGCACTTTGAATGAGCAGTCAAGCGAATCGATTGCACTTCTTTCGGTTTCCAGAGGCAAATTTATTGTTGGTTGTCATGAAACTCTGCGCTGCGACATTTCACCTCTTGTGCCAACTCCACTCACCCTATAAGGGAAGGTACCATTGGTAAAACTTTTCTATCTCACTCGGAAAATCTTCGTCGGGCTTAGGTTTCGATGATCCCTCACCAACCCGGCAAAACAATGCTGCTCTTGATTACTCTGTCTGTAAAGTATACTGCACTGTACTGCCAGGCACTTCCCGGAAGCAATCAATCAAACTTTTCACCACCGAGCAGTCAACCATAAACTCTAGGAAAATTTTCCAACCTTTTCCGCCAAAAGTTCAAACTGTTCTGAGCGAAACTTTGCCACCGAAAATCCTGGTCGTCTCAACCGTATAGCTTTGGGAACTCGCACGACATCGACAAAATCCTTGCAGCTGCCGAACAAACCAAATGACAAACTACCTTGGGGCCGCCCATAATAACTCTAATGTCATTTTTTTTTGTTCGAATATTTTTCCATTTCCGTTCCGGCGCGCACGCTGATATGAAGGAATTTATAATTCGAACTAAAGAGTAGCCACCGGAGCACGTGTTTGATCGATACACGGAGCGGTCGGTCGGTCGGTCGGCCGATTGGTTGGTCGGATGGAAGAAAGTGGTGACGCCAATGTCCTTAGGAACCGTATTTGATATGGAAGAAGAGCAAAACAAATAATGTTCGTGCAAGCACACAAGAGGCATCAAAGTGGCCGTGGATGAGCATGATTAGGGTCGTCTAGGGCTAAAAATAGACCGAACATGGCCTGCTGCTTGTTTGCTTTGCAGACGTTTGGCTCTGGTCGTGTAAGATACTCATTTGAGTTCAAAACCATGCAGATGCAATTGACATCGCATATTTCACCCATAGTGTGAATCAACAGGTGCATTTACCTGTACAGTTCTTAGTGGGATTTGGGTTGGTTTTTTATTTGATTTTGATTTTCTGCTTTTTAAATTCAGTTTTGAATTTGATAAAGCTTTTATCCGTAGTTTTACTCATATTGAAAATCTAGACTCAGACAAACCATAGGTTATTTACATACACAAACGTGAATTTTGTCGAGATCTCAGCAAGAAACATAAATTTTGCTGAATCTCGACAAGTTTTTACTCAGATCCAGCAGGTGCCCATCTCGGTAAAAAAAACCTAAGTCTGTAGAAGATGTTTGGATTCAAAGTTGCTTCCAATATAATCAATGTTTTTCTATAATTAAATAACGAAGCATCGAACATGCAATCCTACATATTTATAGACATCGAAGCTGTTAGTCATCTATCATAAAGAGCGTAGAATGCGTATAGCGCATAGATGATAGGTAATGATGGCGCTGAAAATTATGAATGAACTCTCGATGAACATTTCAAATGGTCCTATCTGCTTTGATCGATTCTCTTCATCGACTTTCTCTTTTCATCACCACTGCTATGCAAACAGATTTCGCGTTAATTCTACCACATAGTTTGATAAAGGAGGTTCTTATCTAGCGTCCAAAACGTCAAATACAACAGGGAAAGGTGTTGCAGCCTCGGTTGCAGCTGAGTTATTGATGAAAGAGAAAGTCGATGAAGAGAATCGATCAAAGCAGATAGGACCATTTGAAATGTTCATCGAGAACTGATGCCAGCGTCGGCGAACAAGCAAAGCAGGAGACTTCCACTATACGGTAAGGCGTGATTTTTAAGATGTAAATGGCTTGTTTTTTTGGTAGTACTATTGGCAATGTGTCGCCCAACGATCACTACACTAGTAAAAATCCACACATAACTAATAGAAAATTTCTATAAAATATTAAGCATAATATTCATTTGGCCACACATAATTAGATATCATGGAACAAAACACATACAGATTATGTGTCATATAAACAGTATGTGTGATCACATATAGAGATGATATGTGCAAGTGAGATTTATGTGTCTGGTATATAGAAACTATATCATAAATTTAATTGCAAAAATCTATGTGTGGAACACATAGAAACAATCATTGACTTTTTCTCAGTGTAGTATTGAATAATTATTATTTTGGGTCAGGGCGCACGAAAGAATGTGATGATGATATTTTGGTGAATTAAAATGACTATAAATCAACACTAAAATTGGTAGTTACAAAATACCAACCAGTTGTAATGTAACGTATACCAATAAAATAATACACATTTAAGGAAAGGCATCTCCTTTTGCCAAATACAGGACAGTCAAAGACCACGTGCTCCGGTGTTTTCTCCAAATTTCCACACTCCGTGCAGAAGGGTGACGTTGCGTGTCCGAACCGATGTAGGTACGTAGGTACTGCATGAAGTAACCATGACCAGATAGGAATTGCGTTAGACCAAAGATATGTAATTAACAAGATATCTCACTAATCAATGCATCATCCAAATAACCAAAATATCTCAGAGATAACGCCAACATGTTTTCTCAAACACACCCGACGGACGCCAAAAATGCCAGAGCTGCGCCAAAAAGTTGAGCACGTTTCTTCGGGATCTTCTGGTCTTTTGACGTAGGACTACGTCTTTGATTTCTATATGGGGGTACACTTTGTGAAAACCGAAAATGGAACATGTAACAAATTAAGAAAGATTTTGAACGTTAATAACTCAGCTACCTCTGGTCCAATTTCAATTATTTTATCACCAATCGATCAGAAATATGGCTGCGCATTGATAACAACGCTTCCGAATGTTGATTTTCAACAAGAAACTATTGAAAAACTGGTAAATGTTCAGCATTGTCCAAAAGCGTCGAATTAACTAACAAATCCACCAATTACCTACATGCATATGCTGCTTCCCCAGCAAAGTCGTCAGAGAGTAGTAAGTAGACGAAACAAGTCGAAGTTGCATTCGCCTCCGATCCTCGGGCGCGTGTGAATAGGGAGGATGGAATTGCGTAATATTTTACACACTCATCGCCATGTTCAGAACCAAACGCAAATTCTTCGAGATAACCACCATCCGTCGTCTGGCTCGCCGTGGCGGTGTCTGACGTATCTCCGGTTTGATTTACGAGGTGTGCTGAAGGTGTTCCTGAAAAATGAGATCAGTGATGCTGTCACCTACACTAAACACGCCAAGCGTAAGCGGCCATGGATGTCATCTACGTTTTTGAAGTGACAGAGACGCACTCTGTTTGGTTTCAGAGGTTAAATCATCACCAACATTGGAAACAAAACGGCTCTTTTCAGGGCCACTAAGCTTATTACAGTAAAGAGTAAGAATAGAATTCATCTGCCTGTTTGTCCATATTCAGAACCACCGACCACACAAAATGCTCATGTGATCAAACTGGAAGCAGGGATACAAATTGTTTTGATCAACCTTGATCAACTTTGAATCGCCACGGCCGGATATTTTCGATGGAAGAAGCAACAATCTAGCATCTAATTCGACGAAGACGGCAGGAAACATTTCTGGATCAACAATAGAATAGGGCCCATCAGCATTTGTAAACAAACCGTTCCAAAGCCTCACAAATCGAAGGCTGCTCACACAAACCAACACCAACATCTTGTAGGTAGAAGTTTCCCCTATCCGATGATGGTGTTGGTTTGTGTGGGTGGCCATCGCTTTGTGAGTAAAGGGCTTTGGAACGGTTTGTTTACAAATGCTGATGGGCTCTTTTCTATTGTTGATGCAGATTTGTGAAGCCGAGTTATTTACGAAAGAGAGTGTCGATGAAGAGAATCGATCAATGTAGATAGGACCTATTGAAAAGTGACGCGAGATTTGTTTTCCGTACTGAGCTCCAATGCTACCGACGCCAGGGAGGCAGCTCCCAGAGATGTTATGCCTTAGAACATGCCGATGGCGCCGACTGAGATTGGACCCAGGCCTGCTGGGGTGAGAGGTAATTACGCTAACCACCGGCGCCGATATCTATCACGGCGAATGAGAACGACCCAAATTTGAGTTTAGTTATCTCAGAAATAAGCGCAGGAACTCAGCGATGAGTAAATATTCCTCATGTTTTCCCAGGTTTTTCCACGATTTTCCAGGGAAAAATTCCCGAATTTGAGAAAAGTAAAGATTGGATTCACTCAGTCTATTGGTACTACTCCGAGACTGAATAAAATTTTCGTCAATTTCCTCATAACCACCATCCGTCGTCTGGCTCGCCGTCGCAGTATCTGACGTATCGCCGGTCTGATCTACGAGGTGTGCTGAAGGTGTTCGTGGAAAATGAGGTCCGTGATGCTGTCACCTACACTAAACACGCCAAGCGTAAGTGGCCATGGATGTCCTCTTCAATAAAACGGCCCTTTTCAGGGCCATCAAGCTTACATCAGTAAAGAGTTGGAATAGAATTTATCTATGCTTGTTTGTCCATATTCAGAACCACAAGCCCCCAACGACCTGGAAGCAGGGGTGCAAGTGATTTTGATTGATACAGGGTGGCCAGCAAACCGGGAAATCCGGGAATACCGGGAAATATCCGGAAATTTTTAAAGTAACCTGGAAAACCGGGAAAAACCCGTGAATTCTGCAAGAGAACCGGGAAAATAAATTAACTATATCATAGTAACAAATTTTTACATCAGAATTTAAGAATAAACCATTAAAACAGAGTGATCCTTTAGCAAATGAATGTCTTGCTCTATTTGTTGCATAATTTTCTTCAGTATACCGTCTTATTGTTTTTAGAATTTAATCACTCAGCAATATTGCAAATTGATTTTTGTCGTTTCAATTTCAGATGTAAAGTGCATGGTCCTCTAAAGAAAATATTGAAGATGCTGGAGTTTGGAAACAAATA